GCGGAAAGCGGCGAGCGGAAAACGCGCACGAACGGGGCGGAGAGCCCCCCGAAGACGCCCGGAAGACACAAAACAGGGAACCGAGGGGGCCGAGAAAAAGCGGACTCCGCACCGGACAGGCCAACAAGACAGCCCACCCCAAAAGGGGGGGGGGGGGGGGGGGGGTACGAAGGCCGCATCCCCCCACCTACGGGATCCTATGCATAAAGGGGGCACATTTCATTCACGGAGGTAGTGCAATCCACATAGCCCTTGGGTCGACTTTCGTGCACCGCAGCCGCGGAACCGTCCGTAGCAGAGGAGAGAGAGAGAGAGCTTGGGGAGAGTGGTCGCGATGAGCACAGTCTCCTTTGGGAGGGGATCCCTATCAACGACCCCTTCGCCGAGACGGTCCTTCGGCTGTCGAAGCCCCCGTCACACGCCGAAAGGCCCTACACCAGAAGAGTACAGGTGATAAAGGCCACGAAGCACGCCGTAAGGTCTCGCCGGGGGCGGGGGGGGTTGATACAGTGGTGCAGACGACGAGTCCCTCTCAGACGAGTCGTCAGCGGAGAAGGGGGACTCGGTTGAGGACGAAAGCTCCGAGTCGGAGGAGGACTTCGAGGAGGAAAAGGCGGCCGACAGGGAGGGAAAGGAGGAAGGGGAGGAGTAGGGGGGGGGAGAGAGAGAGAAGGAGGAGGATGAGGAGGGAGAGCGAAGGCGCTCGACACGAAAGCGCTCGAAGAAACGGCGGTTTAGTCTTGTTGAGGAAGGTGGAGGGGATTGGGGGAGTGAATAAGCACAACGCACGGCCAATTGCAATTGTGTACGGCGTTGCACGTGGCGAAGGTGATGCCACCGCCGTAGGCTCATGGGCAGCCGTTGCCCGGTATGTTGCCGGCTTGAGTAATAAGCTTGGATTGATGACGTTTCGACGCAAGGTGTTTGTGTGCCCTTTGGTTTTGGCGTGTCGTGTGTTCGTGCTGTTTCGTTATTTTGCCATATTCGCCCAAGGTGAAATGCGCGGACTTGTCGCAGAAGCAATGGTTGCCTTATGTAGCTTGGGGGGTTGTCCCCAAACACTGTTCTTAAAGACTTGACAACCAACCAGAGGTAAGTGTCCCCAGCCCATCACAGATACGAAGAAGTACACACCATTAATTTTCTCAAGCTTATCAAACAACTACCTACCTGGAAACAAGCTCCTTTGTGCACGTATGAATGTCGTAAACACCAGCACACACAAGCACACGCCATGGAGAGGGAGAAAGTCAACAAAGCCTGTGAAAATATGTATCACGAAAAGAAAAAAGGTTTACGCACCCGGGGGGGGAGGTGTGCGGGATTATTTTTTTTGTGCGACTTGCCTCTCCTGTTTTCTTTTTCTTTTCTTCCAGTCAACTCCAGTCTATGTCTACCTCGCACAGAGTGTGGAGGCGAGCGGAGGGTTCCATTTAGGCTATCTGTCGTTCAATTCTAGTGACTTGCGGACCCTTCGGGTCCATTTTATTCTTATGTACTCCGTCTACCTTTTTGATGGCATAGCCTGTGACCACGGGAGGCAAGACTATTTAGTATGGACAGATGAAGGTACTGGGTAGAGAGATCGGAACGGTTTAACCCTTACGTGACTGCAGGCCGATTCAGCCGTTGTGCCTCGGCTAAGAGCAAAAACCATACACAGAGACCAGCAGGGGGACACAGGCAGCCCATCCCAGAAGCACACTTATCAGCAATGCGCACAGGACTCCCAAGTACAATACTATTCACCCATGCCGAATCTCTCTGACGTGGGGCAGATATCCTTTCCAGATCCAATCTACTGCCTACCGGTACTGTAAAGCACGCTTATCAGCAATCAATTCGCACAGGACTCACATAGTACAATACTATTCACCCATCCATGCGTAATCTCTCTCACGAGGGGCAGATATCCTTTCCAGATCCAATCTACTGCCTACCGGCACTAAAAGATTCAAACGCAAAATTCCACCGTAGGCACCCTGAACATGTGATCAACCCGGTGCCGCATACGCGGGGGAGGGCAGAGAAAGCGCACACCGGAGCCGATGCCAACGTACTGCCTCGGTGTTTGATTTTGTTGTGATTGCGGTGCGTGTGGTTCCCAGTGTTGGGAGTGAAGGGTAGTTCGTCTGCTGCGTGCAAAATTTCGCTCAAAGGCAAGGGTTTTCGGGACTACAGCTCCGATCACAGCTCCGATCACAGCTCCGATCACAGCTCTCTATATGCACTCCCCAAACCCAAAAACAATTAATTAAATCAAACACCCCTATATACAGGGGAAAGAGCGAAATGAGAGAGATGCGGCGTAACTCTGGGTATTTGAACTTTGTAGTACAGAAAAGTAAAAATTATCACGATTTTTATGCATTTTGTGCGATGAGGATGATGGCCTCGATTCTCTGATGAGCGGGCCGTTCTTTTCGTCGATCTGGCGTGTCTGTGAGGCGGTTTCCCGTCAGCGTCTTCGCATCTAGCGCCGCTATCATATGCGCTTGCCGTATGCTCTGTCCAAGAGTGAGGCGGAGAAGATGTGCCAACAGGTGTTGCTTGCACAGGTACGTCCTCTGTGCCGACGGTTGCTGTCGGAGCCAGGCATGCACACCTGCTCAGAAACTACTGCTGTACAGCAGTATTACTACTGCACTCCTGTCCGTCACCGTTATATATACCGCGTCCCCATCCCTGTGAGCCCCATACATGGACCCACTGCTGCACCATCCTTGCCGCCGTGATTTATGGGCGTCCACGCATACTTGAAGATCTTTGACCGCAGAGAGTCAGTTGTAGGGAAAAAAACAAAAAAAAGTCACGTACAAAAGGGTTAAGTGAAGAAAATACAAACAGCAACAACAACAACAACAACAACAACAACAACAACAACAACAACAATAAGTTCAGCAAGCTACACCATCACCATCGCTGGGAGTGGGCGGTAAGCACGCTACCCTCGTTGCACTCAAGCAAGGGTGCAACATGCGGATTTTCTCAAATACCAGACTATATGCAAAGGCGGCGCTTACCGTAGCGTTCGAGTGTCGTGCGCCGCCGCAAAAAGCAAGCAACTGACCCACACCCCCTATACATCAGATCCACTTCGTCCTTAGGTGAGCAAAACCCGTACGTACCCTAGACAGGCCGAGGGCGCGCAACATATTGGCGATCAAGGTGTCAACGGAACTCTTTCTTCGGCCGCGTATATACCACGCAACTCTTTCTTCGGCCGCGTATATACCACACTACATACAACAGCAGACCACACACATATATATGCATGCGTTCATGACAGCGAGGAAGATGTGGTGTGCAGACACGACATACCGCGCCGGAGCATGATGGCGCCAACACACGCTGCAGCAGTATCAACTCCGGATATCAAGCGTGGACTTCGATCGAGAAGCCCCCCTCCTCACAGACAGATACGGGCAGAGGCGACCAACTTCAACGTGGTCTCAGGAGGCGGAGTTTTTATGGCGGAGTTTTTATCTTTTTGGGGGCGCCAATGTAGCAACGAACGGCATCCGAGTGGTATTAGAGACGGCCAGATGTTGTGTGGCCTAGCACTTTGTGAATTAGCACTTTTTCACCCCAAACCATGGCCAATAGATCTTTACATACCTGCTCCACCGTGTGCTGATCTCCTCGGTTGGGATTACGTCGGGCCTAGCTGAGCTTTCTGTTTCCGTGAGCGTTTGTTTGCTGGGGCAAGTTTTTGGAACGTTCCGGGCTTTGTTGACGATTGACGACCACGAGGATCGTTCCTGGTATATCTAAATCAGCTCAGAGAACATACACGGAGGCGTCTGCGTGATTGCGGCGAAACTGTGAGTCACATTTTGTGATGTTCAATGATTCTACATGACACACGCTCACGAAACACGGGCCCGAAGCAAAGTAGCCAACAGCCGACAACAGGAGCACCAGACATCTTCCCTATTTAGCAGCCTCTGGGGAAAAGATGTCCGCGTGTGTAGACTATTCGTTTTCGTGTTCGCCGTGTCAAACAGCAATGATTGGCCATGCGAGCCCCACGCGCCACCGCAGCATGTATGTATGATATCGACAATTTTCTTCCCCTGTGCTACGTACATATCCTCCTGTGCGCTAGTAGTGGTTTATTTTCGGAGCGTGTTAAATACAGTTCATGATGCTGTCGCTCTCGTCCCAGCATTTTTTCTCAGCCTCGAAACTCGCCACGCGTTGTGTGCCCGACCCACCCCCCACCCACGCAAGAAACGAGCGAATTCGAAAGTGGCCCTCTACACAGCGAGGGGATACAGGTCTCCCTACAGCGAGCGCCAACGTGCGGCAAGAAGCACCCACGGGGCCCCGTCACCACCTTTCCCCACCCCAACGGGGCGGCGTCCCGTGACCATGAAATGAAATGAAATATACCATGTTAATGTGTCCTTCCCCCCTTGTGTCCACCCCACGCGTTGTTTTCGAGAAAAATTGGCGAAGGTGGTGCCCACGAGAGACCCGAGAGATACCCGCTGACGGTAGTATTGGTCAACCAGCTTGTTATTGTACAACCTATCATCCACTCTGTTGTCACGATTGGTGGCCAATCAGGAACCGCCCTGAATCTCGTACAGACTCATACCAGTGTTTTCAAGCGTTTTGGACGAATGCTGGATGATTCAAGATCTCCCAGGAAACGTTAGCCGGTCTTGTACAGAGTGTGTCGCAAACAATGGGCGAGAAGCATGACATGGAGACCCCGGACGGCATTCGCATTGAGGTGTCTTACGCCCGCTGCTCCTCATAGCTCGTTTATGCGGCTCATTAAAAGACAATGTGTTCTCAAGGGCCGCTACACGATTTGCGCATGTTAATGATATGCCTTATGGGCGTCGGATTTTGCACCTTTCGGTGTTTGTTTGCGGACGTACATACACCCTCGGTTCACACGCGACGTAAAGGGTCGTTGGCCCCACTCCCTCACTGCCCAGGTGCTTGACCGTGTTTCTTACTCTTGAAAGATTCCGTATCCCTTCACCCACCATGAGCTCAAGTTTGTGTACACAAGTTGCCGTCGTATAGTTTGGCGCCGCCATCTATTTGTTCGGGCACCCAGCGAGAAATCCCACTCGGTTTTCAAACCTACCTCCCAATGCCAGGAAGGTGCGCGTTCCTAAACTGAGCACAGGGACATCCAATGACTCCACGAGAATTTTGGCTGGGCGCAAAAGGCTAGCGCCTCGCCCACTGTAAAGGTGTGTTTCACCATCGTAGCAAGTGGAATCCCACGCAGCAAGGGTTGGATCATTTCCAGCATGTCATAGATCGATTTCGCGTGTAGAGCATCTACCTCTCCCCGTGAACCGGACGCAAAAAAAAACAATCGCACACACGTCAGGGCTACCGGACCGTGTGCGGTTGTTCAAGCAGTTCTTCGGTTACTCGCCCGCCCCCGTGCCACTTGCCAACCTGCTACACTACGGGAGGTCCTGGAACCTCGAGCTGCCTCGTTCATCCTGCTCCGGACCGGAGCTCACTCTCGTCAATAGTGCCGTCTGAGCCGATAGGTGAAATCGAAACGCCGTTATGGTGACATCCATTCCTCCACAAACGCAGGCTGAGTATTTACGGTTTTGTCTCAAAAATGCTTTTCTCTGCCGCTCGGACGAACAAAACACTGACGCCTCGCGTGTACGACTGCAGGCACGGTGTGTTGGATATGCATGCCATCGTATACCGGCCACAACGGGAGCCCGCTATAAAGGGCTTATGGTGGGAGCTAGTGAACAGAGCACCCTGTGCAAGAAAACCTGCAACACTCGGGTTCTTCCAATACATCTCACGATATAATTGTTCCTGACAAAGCCCCCGGCGGCCGAAAGCCTGCAGCCGTTTACACAACTCGAGCGAAGGGTGGGTAGAGACCCGCTCTTAATGCCCTCACACACAGAGAGAGAGAGAGAGAGAGAGAGAGAGAGATAGGCCATACAGCGAGAACCGCATACGTGGTAACCCGCCACACACACTGATGTTCCTCCGCCGGATCCTATCAGTCAGAATCCTCGCCCCTCCCCGTAATCAGCCAAAAAAAATCACCCACTCGAAGCAACAACCTCTTGCGCCGAAGAAGACTTGAACACCTCGGCGTTGGGGAAAGTGTTGCCGCAGACTTCTCTCAACGCCTCGACGGCGGCGCTGCCGTCCTCCCCAACAACACCCCTGACAGCCTCGACAGCGTTGGCGCACCCGGGGACGGTCACTCCCCTCCCGTCCAACCCCTCGCGGACGATCCTCACCGCCTGCTCTCGTCCCTGCTCCGCCGCCGTTAGCGACAACGCCTTCGCGGCGCAAACCCTGGCCCCGAGGGAACCAGTCTCCGCGTCCTCGGCGAGCCTTACCAGTTCCGCAACAGCCCCGGCAAGGCCGCCCGTTCCGAGCAACCCTTCCGCCTCCTCCGCGAGAACCCGTGCCACCAACGGGGATGGTGGTGCGGGTCCCGTGGTGGGTGAGGGCGTGCTAGAACCATCCGCTGGGGCGCAGGATGCGGCGGGTTGTCCAGGAGAAGGAGGCGTTGCTTGCGCTTCGTGATAGAGCTGGATCGTGCGAAGCAGCAGCTCGGGGTTGCGGGGCTCCAAGGCCCGGCCCCTGGTTGAATTGCGGTGGGTTAAGCGGGACGGGGGATAGGGGCGCGACGTGCATTTGTCGTCCGCACGGTTAGTTTTTCTCACTCGAATTTTCCAAGTCAAGATCGTCAAAGCTAACAACATGAATAGGTTGAAATTGTGTGAGCTGGGAACTCAATCTTCTAGATCTACAACCCACACCAAAGCAGTTCACGATGATAACAACGTGCGAATGACAACAGTAAACGGGTGCCGGTCTCGCCGGAATAGGTGAGGCATATAACGTTGGGCGTTCACCGTGAACCCGCCAGAAGCTATGTAAAAGCTTGCGCACGCTACCCGGTCGATCGGCAACTTTGGGTGCGCACCCCGCCACCGCCCAGTCCAAACCCACACCATGACACCAAGCAACACCCGCTGCCGTCGAAAAAAGCGAACACGTCCAAGAAAAACAAAGTATCACACCACCCCTCCCTAGTTCAGCAGAAGCGCACACATACGCTAGCATTGAGTCTTCTCCTTGACCTTTCGAGAAGGAAACCGTCATCCAACTCCGGCGCCCCCGCTGTCGGTAGGACACTTTCTGATGAGAAAAAAGTTGTTCGCGTTTTGTTATCCGGCGAAAACAAAATGATGTATTTCCATTGATCAGCCGGGTAGCACGGTCGGTGAAAAACACACACACAAACACACACACACACAATACACACCTGATGACCGCCCGGGCAGCCAGCAGGTACTTCCCCCTCCTCATGGCCACGTCGAACGCCAGCAGGTGGGTTTCCACGTAGGCCCCGGCGTGCGCGCTCAGGAGCGCGACCAGCCTCGCGGCCTCGGGGAGGGGGTCCTTCTCCAGCAGCGTCAGGCCCAGAGGGTCCGGGTCCACGGGTGGCGCCGCCGCCGCTCTCCCGCGGCGTTTGTTGTGGCCCCCCTTCTTCTCGCCGCCGCCGCCGCCGTCGTCCGTCTTGGACGAGCCGTTGGCGGTCTCTTTGGCGAGGGCGCTCTGGCGGGCAGCCTGCGGTACCGTGTGGGGTGGAGGAACAGCGGCTGGTGAGTCTGTAGCAGAAACTGGGTCTAAAGCCTGTAGCAAGGCTTGCGAAGAAAATGACACGAGAGAAAGACTGGGAACTGGCGACGTGGCATCCACGCGAAATCAATCCTCCACACATGCACCCCTGACCGCACGAAAACACAGGAGGAGGAAGAGCCGATAAGACGTGGGGTCCCCGCAGAATGCTACTGGACACTGGACCCCATGCACCGTCCACTGGGAGAACATTTATGCCCCCGTCCCAAGAAAATCATGAGGAGATGAAAAGCAAGACGGCAGCGGGGCACCAAAAAAAAACTCGATAAACCTGCACCAGCGTAGTGCTACACGACGGGTGCAATTAGTCAACCAAGCCGTTGACCAGTTGGGAGTCGCGTCGGGGAATCTACCTCCCTGCAAGAGAAACGGGTCCCCGCAGATAGGAACTGGACCACACTGTTCCACGTCATAAAACTCGCCGCTCGTCAGGCAGCCTCACCTCATCAAGCATCTGCTGCTTCTCGAGCTCCTGTTCCGCCGCCTTTTTCTTGGCATCCCTCCGGGCCTGAGAGAAGGAAAACAACAAGTCAGAAACATATGTTGAAACATAGCAAGGCGTACGTTAACCTACCCCAAGGGCACCTACACGCACAAGAGAACAATTCTCTTCGCGAACAAAATAAACAACCCACATAGTAAAACCAACTGAGAACGCTAAAAGGCGAAAAACAGTGGTATGGATCACAAAGAGCTACGTACTTCGTACATCAGAAGATTCGAGTGCAATCACCGTACATCTCCGACTACAAGTACATCTCCGACTACAAGTACACCTCCGACTACAAGTACACGAAAACTGTTTGATGCACGTGGGATGCGAGAGTGGATCCGGAAAATCATGCACACTCCACACACCACGCGTTCAATAATTCATTTCCCCGCGGTCAATCCGCACGTGCCAGGGGATACCACCCTTCCATAGACTTGTTGACAAAACGAATCATGGGAACCCCTCGAAGTAAAAAAATCAGAAAGGGGAGCTAGCTACCTGGGGTGAGTCGTCTCAACAAGGCCAAAAAACAAAAAAAACCTTGCAGCCATTGTTCTTGCTGTTGCCCTGGCAATAGACAACGTTTCTGCCGCTGCTCAGCTACCTTCCAACACCCACGGATGCGGACACCTTCCGTGGCCACTCACACGCCAACTTACCCCCTAAAACCTCTAAAACAGTACAAGCAGGTACACACTAACCTTCGCCTTGACCCGCTTCTTCTCCGCAGCGGTCATGTTGGTCATGTCCGGCAGCCCCGCTGCGCCACCGCCCCCGGCACTCCCCGGGCGCTCGTCGTGCAGCCGGAGATAGGCCCGCACCAGCAGCGCGGACGCGCGGCGGTAGCTTTTCTGCGACCGAAGGTCGTCCACCATGCGCAGCATCCCGAGGTACGACCTGAGGGTAACCTGACAAAAAAAAAAAAAAAAACACCCACGGACGGACGCACGGAGGCAAAGGGGCAGGACGACTTGCGAGTGAGACGATGGGGATCGAAACTTGGAGATTTTCTTGCCAAATGCCGTCGCACTGAGTACGGCAAGGAGGCGATATGCAGGTGGAGACACGACGGTGCAGCGGTCGTCGACGGGGGAAAAAAAAGCAAGGGAACGGTGTCGCCAAGGTTTCTCCGAGCAGGAAACGAAACGGTAATGATCTATGAGACGGTAACGGGCGGGCATGAAAAAAGGAATGAACACGGCGGTTTGCCCAAAAACAGGGAAGAATAAATGTCGATAACGAAGTGGTCAAGATGGTATCGAACCGGTCATGACACAACAATTAGAAAAGCGAAGCGAATGAACCGGTTGTGGCAGCAACACAGCGATGGCCAGACGGCCGTACGGGACGGCGGTATGTCCAGACGGCCGTACGGGACGGCGGTATGTCCGGGAATGACAAAAAGCGAATGAATCAGCCGATGAGGGAACGGCAATGGCATCAGAATGACACAGCGATAGCCGCGCCATGAACAGCATTGAAAAGCAATAATGTCGCGGCAACTTCACCTTGCGCATGCAATACGTGTGGAAGTCGAACTGGTCCTCCACAAAGTCCTCGAAGTGCGTGTGCACCGCGAGGGCCTTCTTCATCGCGAGGCCCGGCTTACCGGCGCGGATCTGAGCCTCGGCCCATTCTAGCTCGAACCAGCTGGAAAACAAAAGAAGGAAGCGGCGGCGGCGGCGGGCACAAGCAGCATGTAGTTAGCTTTAGCACCCGCCCAGACAGCTGTGCTCCTGACATTTCGCTGGGGAGAGAGCACATGCACGTCCCGCCGCTTCAAGCAGGAACAACAACAACGTTTTGCTGCTGGAAGTAGGGGAAACAAAAGCAAAAGCAGCAACAAAATAAACAACCAACAACACAAGAACATTCACAAAAATAATAAACAACACAACACGGCGCACCTGCACTGCATCTCGAAGAGGTTGTGCTGCGGGTCCCCCTCGTGCCTCGTGAAGATAGCGATCGTCTGCTCCGCCTTCGGGATCTGCCCGGCACGCAGCAAATACTTGGTCGCCTGTGGCGCCGCCAAGACGCCCGAGGTGATCGCGATTGCGCAGGATACGACGGTTTGGTGGTGGCAGGGGTTAACAGAGGGGTCGGCAAGCAACTCAAGACCGAGGGGAGAAGATGAAACGGCAACAAAAAGGGAGTTGAAATGACGAACTGATCGATCCCTGCCGTGGGGTGCGGGGTAAATGGTTCGTCCGCCACAAGTGCTGAGGGCAAGAAAACAAAAGAGGTAATGGCAAAACTTGGTATTCGACAAAATAAAAAATGAGACACAAGGGAAGAGATGAGACATAAAGACACACATGCACACACAAAGGGAGACATACAAGAGACAAGTGCCTCGTCGCCGCACTCCCATTGGGAAAACCAACAGACCAAACAACAAAAGTCGCCAGGCCCAAAAGCAACAGAGACGAGAAAAAAAAACGGCAGCATCGCCATTCCGTGCACGCATTCCGTCTACAAACCGTACAACACCACGCGGGACGAAACGACCCTACAATTGTAGGCACACAGGACGGTATGTTGACGCCGCACCTTGCTGTTCATGTAGCGGTCCGCCTTGTCGAGCATTCTGGCCGAGTCTACCGCCTCCGCTGCCCTCGTCAGAGCCCCCATCTTCCTCAGCACGCGGCCCTTCCGCTGCAGGAAGTCAAGCATGGTCGGCTGCAGCGCGGCGCATTCCTGTGGTGGTGGGGCGGGCGCCGAAGGAGTGGTCGGAGGAAGGGTTCGGAAGGAAGGTGTGCATCGAGGAAACCGGAGGCCAAAAAGATAGGGCAGAGAAGTGATGTATGTACTCAAGAACTCGGACCCCACACCACCACACAGCATGCAGCACGCTATTCCCGCCACAAATACGACACAACAACACAATCATGTGAAAATCCTCTTCAACGACGTCACTGTATATTCAAACTACACCGCACCCCCCCGCCTCCCCCCCTCCCCCCCTCCCTCCCCAGCGCGTGCGCGCCCTGGGTGGAGCCTGAATACTGCGTGCATGGCGGCGCTCGAACGCTGGTGGCATCTCCGCTGGGAGTAAGGACAGGCGCCCGGAACGATGCCGGGAACGACGCTCGTCCGGCTCTCGTGGATGGTCAACGGCAAAAGGACTCGAGGCAAGCAGCGGGTGACTATACACGCAGACCCTCGCCTGAACCCCCCCCCCCTCCTTAATGCGGCACTTGCTGACCTCAAGAGTATCGTAGGCCTCCTGCAGGAAACCCGTCCTCTCTTCGAGCTGAGCCCGAAGGAACAACGTCCACGCCAACGTCTCCTCCGGCTCCTTGTCGCCGTCTTTCTCCCCCTCGGCAGTAGGAAACCTCCCGGTCGATCGGAGAGACTCGACGAAACTGCCAAGTCGGCCCCACAACACAAAACCCATCCATTTTTTACGGTCGAGTGCAAAGGGTTCGGTTTGGGGACGAGGGAGGGAGGGAAAGACCGCGACGTTATGCTGGAAGGAGGTGCACAACGTGGTTTATCTGCGTGGATCCTCAGTCCTCTTCACAGAAAACAAAACCAAACAAACACACGCAAACACACGCACATGCCCACACTCGTCAATGTGAGCATTCAGCGCAGCATTCAGCGCAGTGCCTGTTTGAGGTCGCAGAGACTACCAAGGTATAGAGAAGCCGAGGGCGTGGGTAGATACCAAGCGTTGTAGACAAACAAGATGGGTTCGTGGCTCCACCACGGCTCCGCTGGTTTGATATAGTCTTCTTTGCGACTCTCCAAGCCCGGACGGAAGCACGCACAAACCCCCCATCACCGGTAGTTTTGAACCATGCGGGTACGAAGCAGCTCAGAATGACTGCGTTGCGGAACAGTCGGGGTATTAACACTACAGTCCTACCGAAGCCCCCCCACAATGCGCAAATAAGATTCTACAAGGTTACACAGATATCTGATTCAATAGCCAATCCTCACCTTTTCGTCAGGTCCATGACCATCTGCTGGACAGGGTGGTTCCGCAGATCGAAGGCGTCGGTAACCACAGGGGACGGTCTCCCCAGCTTCTCCTCCCCGCCATCCGCGTCACCCCCTGCCGCTACAGACGTCGGGGCCCCCTGTTTCTCGAACACGGAGGAAAGGTCCGTGCCCAGAGAGGGTACACCCTTGCGGAGGTAGCGCCGCATGTACGCGTCTGCCATCGCCAACAAAGCCGCACGCGCGCACAAGAGACAACCGGCAAAAAAACGCGCAAAAAACAAGAACATCACGCCCAACCACTCCAACGCGAACAAACTAGCAAGAATAAACAAAAAAAGCAGCAGCCGTTCGTCGTTCTTTTCTTCGTTTTATGCCGACTCTGCCGCCACCAAACTGCGCGTGCTGGACAGGTCTACCCTGCAGGCGACCACTCGCTGCACACCACGGCGCGTTATAGGATTGCGAGTGTTTGTATCGATTTAAGTTGCTATGGGATGCAAGTACAGGGGAATCAACGGCATAACTAGGGACATGCGGGCGGGGGCAACTCCAACTCAAGGATTCAAACAGCGCACTAGGAACCTCCCTCGTACTCGATTGGGATGGGAAGTAAAGACAAGCTCCGGCTAGGGCTAGGGTTAGGTGGTCCTCATACAGCACCGGTACAGAGGCATGCCTGCCGTGATCTGCTCAGTATCGCTCGCAAGTACATCAACGGGCGGAGAGATGGCACCCCCCCCTGGAGCGAATTTCAAAGCTCGATCGCTCCGTAACCAAGGGGGGGGGCGTAAAGAGCCCGATACGCCTACGGAGTGCCGTCGACAAGATGTTTCCAAAACCAACACTTTTGGTGATGGCATAAGCTCGGTTGTGGAGCAATGTAGAGCTTTCAAAATCTAGGGGGGGTGCCATCTCTCCACCTCTACCACGGTACGGTATACGGTACGGTACAGACAATCTTGGTTGTGGAGCAATCGAGCTTTCAAAATCAGTCTAGAGGGGGTGCCATCTATCCGCCTCCTACGGTACCCAAGATATCGTAGGCAGTGCGCAACAAAATAAAGGTCCGTATCGCCTGCGCGAGTTCGTCACCATGTATCGCACACTACCGGAGTTGTTGTACACGGGGGTGTGCGGTACTAGGGCAGCAAAACCGAATGATATAGATCGATGTTCTTTGCACAGGGGTATCATAGGAGCAAAACACACCGGGACAAAACACAGGACAAATCACGACAAATATGAGACAAAATAGAAAACAGGAAGAAAAATAAAATAAAGATCGCGTACCTGCCTGCGTTCGTCATGCCAGTACCCGCCGCCCCCCCCCCCCGCGAAAAAACAGCCCAAACCACAGGAATGCATCATCGCTCTCACCTAGAGACGAGCGGAGTTCCTCCCCCTCCAAGAACGTCAGCGGGATGCGCGCGGCCGCGGGGCTCCCCTCAAACCTCTCCCTGAGCCCGCGGTAAAGCTTCGTGAGCGTCTCCACCTCCGCCTCCCCGAGCTTCCCCGCGGCCCTGAGCGCTCCCGACGGTAGCTCGCAGGCCCTGAGCTTGAGTGCCTCCTCGCACTGCTTGGGCGGCAGCTTCAGCACCGCGCACTGCAGCCCTCTGTGGAAGGTGTAGTCCTCGTCTCCCCTGTCCAGCAGCTCCCTGCGGTGGTCAGTAGGGAGGGGGGAGGTCGTGTGTGGGAAAACTGCGGTGCCTCCTGTACTTATTTCACCATCGACCGAGCCCGAGTTTTCGAGACAGCCCTCCTCGATGTCTGGAACGAGTGCACTCCCGACTCCTCGAACACGGGCGCCCCAAAAAGCAGGCCAGCGCCCCTTGGAACCCGGCTCAACTTTACGCAGGGCTCTCTACACTGTCCCCGCTCCTCTTAGACGTGTACGTTACGGTTATCATTTATCGTCTCCCACCACATGGATCGGTCGTTGTCTCGTGCACCAAACTTCACCACGAAACATCCATCCATCATTTTCATCACCTCCCCTCCTCGAGGGCTTCCCTCCAGCTATTGTAACTTTCCCGCATACACCCACGCCCCTCAGCTTTGTCAACTACTCTTCTCTTCCGCATTGCCCTACGAAAATGACCCCGCGTCGCCCCTTTCTCTGCCCTGCTTGCGGTGAATCTCCCCGCGGTTAGGGTGGGGGGGTACCTGTATATCTTCTCGGCGTCTTCGTGCCTTCCCAGGGCCAGCAGCAGCTCACCCTTCTTTTTCGTCCACCCGAGCTTGTCCATCACCTGTCAAGGGGGTGAAGGTCGACAAAAGGTTCAAGGATGCAACGCTTAAAGATGCCGCAAAAAAAAACGAAAGTAGCCAGCAACATAAATCCACATTCACTGATAAGACTTCAATCAACACCTCCCTACGATTGGAGTATCATCTATTTCGAACGGCTAGTCTTTTAGGTCTCTCATGTACATCGTAACAAAAATACAAGACTGTTACTGGGGCCCGAGTGCAACAATGCCAAACCACTTGAAAATGAACCAACTTGAAAATGAACCAGCTTTTTGTTCCGGGCTTAGGAAAGGAGAGCAATTCCAAAAAAGGTAAGCGTGTAACGATTGGCTACAAGACAAGTTCAAACAAAGGCGGACAGAATGAAAATAGCATGCTGACTGTCGGCTGCACGGGGCGCTAGCTGGGCCTTCGTCACGTCACTCTGTTTGAGCACGCCGCTAACTGGTCGGCAAACAAAAAAAAAAACTAGAATTCATAGATAAACAAAACAAGAGGAGGTTCCAAGAAAAGGCCGCCTCGATCACATACATATTTGTATCCAGAATGCCGAAAGACTGGGCTACGCGACGGGCGTCCCACGTGTAGCGTCAGCCTTCGCTGTGGTGTTTGTCCCCACCTTATCCGAGCACTCCTCGAGGTGGTCGAGAGCCTCCTGGGTCATACCCGCGTCGCTGAGAGCGAGGTTCTTGTACAGCAGCAGCTCGCTGTGGGGATACCGCTCGTCCGCCCGCTGGTACCTGTCTCCCTGCGTGCCATCAGCACAACAACAAGGGGGGGGGGCATGCATGAGCTGACGGGCGGACGCGTGGTTTGAGTGGTGGGTGGCGTGCTCAATGGCCGCGTTGTGCCGTTCTTGGTATACACCAGTCACGAGTTATGATCAGTCAACAAATATCAGCGATACCGATTGCCGGCACCGGTTTATCGCCAACGATTGACACCGTGCCGTCGCACCGATTGGCATCTTGCCGTCACAACATCATCGCCGCTGAGAGTCGCCAAAGAAAAAAAAAAGTCATGTGATTCATCTCGAGAAAGAAATCACATCATTCCTGCGTCCTAACGCACACACCGCCGTTGATGAAATCCTACAAGTAACGACGTTACCGAACCTTGAGGGTCTTGACGAAGGCATCGATGGCCTGCACGGTCGTCTCCGCGTTACCGGCCACGTGATTGGCCACCGCGTACGCCGTCCAGTTCTGCTGGAGGTTGGACTTGAGCCCAAGGAGCTTCCGGCGAGTCTCCACGAAACCCTAAGAAGCAAACAAGAAAAAAACAGCCGGTTTCATTAAGAACAATCTCACGCGCGCTACACACGGTCTGACTGTTGGGGAATTTCCGAATTGTTGTCGACGTCGTCGTCGGGGGCACCTGTTCTGCAAAGAAAATCGCTCCGACGGAACTTTCGAAATATCGTATTGGCCTCGCGTTCCCTCGGCAGCAAAAAGGTTGGGTTACTGAAAAAAAACGAGAATATTTAGTCTATCGTCCAAGGTGGCAACGAAATACTACCAAGAGATTTGAGCCTCGATCCCAAACTGGTGTTTCAATTATATCCGGGTGCCGACTGCAACGGCCCCTCACGAGGTCTCTCCGTAGGCCCTACCCAGTCCTTAGTCCCGTGTACAACCGTATTCGGGAAGGCATCGCGACCTCTTTGCTTGTAATATGTTTCGAAATACAAGGAATCTGACCCCATCCCATACTAAGACTTGCATCGTCCCTTCGTCGGTTTCACTTTGACAAAAAAAAATAGCGAGCCTCAAGAAAACACACTACTATCATCATCAGTTCGGCGAGAGAGGCAGGCAGACCGGCGGGCGCACCTTGACTTCCCGGATCTGTATCTGCAGGGCGGCGAGGTCCTTGAGGATCTGCAGGTTCTCCGGCTCGTGCTTGAGAGCGTTGAGGTAGCTCTTGATCGCCTCGGCGTAGTTGCGCTCCGACCGGTGGAGCAGGCCATACACGTGCCAGCACACGTGACTGTCGTCGTTGTTGTTGTTGTTGTTGTTGTTGTTGTCGTTGACGTTGTCGTTGTCGTTGGTGGTGGTGGTGGTGTCCACGTCGGTGTCGGAAATGAATGAATTGTGTTTTTCGCCACACAGGTTGTCGTTGACGTTGTTGTTGTCGGTGTTTACGTCGGTGTCGGTAATGAATGAATGCATTGTATGTCGCCGCACAGCGGGCGGTAGCAGACGGTGAAGAGGGCAAAAAAGCCAAAAGGTCAAAAAAAGGGGTCGAGGGAGAAGCATCAAGAGCAAAGGAGTGCCCGGCACTGTAGGTATGCGAAATCAAAGACCAATGGTCCATCGCCTACGGCGTACGTTGACATGATTACACCCCCCCTCCTCCTTCAGCATCTTGCTTTGGTCCAGCAAAGCCAACCCACCCACCCACCTGCGCAGGTCCGCACGGAGCCCCCTTCGGACATGGTCGTGCGCCTCTTCCTTTTTGCCCAGGGCGTTGAGGGTCAGTCCCTTCATCGCCAGCGTCTCTCCATGGGTGGGGAACTTCTTGAGCACCGCCTCCGCCGCCTTGAGACCCTTCTTGTACTCCTTCCGCTCGTACAGTTTCTGCCGTGTCCACGAGGCAGCGGGAAGTCACCGGTCGACCGCCGCATCACATCCGTGGGCGAGAGGCGGGGCCGGGGGAGGGGGGGGGGCAGCTATTGCTTCTCTCGGGCCGTTCGACAAACGGGGTGCGATGCGCCACAAACGGGTTTGCTGGCGTTGAACAAGCGCTGAAAAGAGGGAAGGCACACCTGCTGCTGGATTTGCTGGTTTGTGGGTAGACCATCAACGACTGCACCTCCAAATTTCGAGACGAACGCTTTGCTTGTTTTTGCGCGTGTAGGGGGGGGGGGGGGTAGCAGTCAGGCCGTGCTTCCCAAAAGTAATGCCTTTGGTGGACAGACAAAGGGTCGAGCACGCCCCGCAGAGCGCTGACGCACGACCCGTGATTGGGCACGTTTGCAGGCAGCAGCATGTGCGAGCACCTGTGCCATCGGAGTGGGCGGCGTTCCGCAAGGCTGTGTTCCGCACCCAGCGGACAACCGGTTCAATAAAGCAGTTGAAAAAAGTCTACCCAAGGTATACTAACGAGGGTTCTCGTGCAGGGCCCCCGTGCGACTCTCCGCCCGTCCTATCCACAAAGGGCGGGGTGCTTCAAAAGCTTTTAACCCAACGGCCGCGGCTGCACGGCTCTCGTGTCTCTCGTGCACGATGGGTCGACTATTAATAGATACGCGTGCAAGACATCTTCGGACACCATGAAACAGGGATGGAGACATGGCCGATGTTGCGGCTGCCGCCGTGGGGGCTGCAAGTCAACGGAACAATTGAGACATGACAGTTTTTGTCTTCGTTTTAACGCTGAACGCGTTTATCGCTCTTGGGTGGGGTTACTTTCGTCAATACACGTGCACCAAGCTTTGCGCGTGTGTCTACGGAAACACAGAGACGAACAGGTCCATACGCTGTCAGCAAGGGACAGCTGTCCGTTACCGCCGGTACACGCACACACTCCATATATGCAAGTTGAGGGAATCGCACGAGAGGCAAGAAAGGGAAGTGACGGGATGCACAACAAAAAGGATAGCAGATGGCCCTACGATATATGGCAGGCCTTGTAAACGAGGGCGTTCGATCTGATGAAGGTCGGCGAAAGTCGCGTGAAACGGATGGAATATTCGAGCTGTCTCATAATCTGAATACTGGGAGCCGGGTGCCCAGCGTACAAGTATGTAGGCCGATCGGCCAATTCCCTTGGCCCGCTAGAAAGTATCCATCCCAACAGTCTTGCTGTGGCAACGTGATGGAAGTTTAGTCTGCTAGTATAGATACAAGCAGTATTGAAACACATGCCGACCTGCTGTTTTGCACTATCCGTCCAGCCGATTCGGTGTTGGTAGCCCCAATTAAGATTTGATGGACTCGTCGTTGGGGCACAGACTCTGCTAGTTGCACTGAACGCGAGGCACGCAGGTGCTCTTCCCCTTGCCTGCTGTACAATATACTGCTGAACACACGGATGATGGTGTCTTGCTTACAGATCCGGGACCGCAAATGAAGCAAATGCTGCAGCAACCGACTACGAAGGCGCCCGCGCGGAAGGCAGGCTGGCAGCATCGATCCACCATCGATCCCGAAAATCGTGGCCGAAGCCCAGGGGACGCAGTTGCGTTACAATTGCATTCACAGGCCACCACGCCTGCCTCCAGTTAGACTCTCTCTGCTGATGTCGGTGCGCCGTAAGATGCCGCATGCAACAGACGTGACAGCGAGAAGAGGAAGGGAAAGAAGGGCACACGCGCGTACTGCATGCAAACTCCAGGCGAGGAAAGAGCTAGTTTGCTCTGCTCTCACCAGGATAGACTTGAAGAGATCCGCCTCCCTCTTCGGCAGCTTGCGGTTGTCAGGGATGGAAGCCATGGTCTCTCTCTCCCTCTCTGCCGTTCCCAGCCTTAGATTTTCCTTTTCCTCCGAGAGGTGCTCTCTTGCCGTGCGGGTTGGTTGCCCAGGTCACTATCTCCAACAAGTTGTTCCGGGCTGCCAGTAAATAACGCAATGGCTCTCCTCCGAGGCAGGGTCGTGTTGCACGGGATAGTGAGACCTCTCGGCTCCCAAACAAGCTCCCACAGCAAACAACAAACAACGGACAACAACGGAACGCGTCCCATATGCAGTCCTCGCCGGGGGTGACGCACCGGTTATTTACTGCAGTTGTGGGTATACGCACATTCATTCTGTGAAGCCCCGTCCCCTGAGTGCCAGCAGCCTCAACAGTGAAAAACAGCCACGCAGCACGACCTGCGCACAGCTGTCAGTAGGGTTGAAACCACGCAGTACGTCGAGTCCGACGCGAGCGGCCGGTTCGCATGCAGCACAGCACGCACAGAGACGGGAACGGGTTGAAAGGGCTCCTGAACGATGTGAGCACGGCGCGAGGGGCGTGGAGAAGAGGGGGGGGGAGAAGCATGTCGGTGGGCTCTGGCCTGGTCCAGGAGAGCACACACCTCGAGATAGGAGACTACCGCCTCGTCAAGACGCTAGGGGTCGGGGCTTTCGGCAAGGTCAAACGTGAGTCACCTCCTTTGCCTGTCTCGGCGAACACTGCTGCAGTGGGTGCATGATGTGTGCAGAGTCTTTCTCGGCAGTATTTTTTGTTGGGGTGTTTTTGCTCCGCTTTTGTTTGTGTGTCCGCAAAAGACAGGTCCGTGGCGTTGACCATAGCCAGCAGGTGATGATGCAGGGATGCAGCACACTGCTATCGAAAAGAGCGACGCGCCTAACTCAGTCAACGTCACTGCTCAGAGGGTTGCGTCTCCCTTTCATTTGCTCCGTATCCGACACGGGTGCCGCGATTCCTCCCCGATTGTATAATATTCCCCCGACGCCGCTCCGTTGTCCGTCGAGAGGATGATGGTTGTTCCTTCAAAAAAAACTCCGCGGTAATGATACTTTCAGTGCTTTCACTCAGGTACAGTACCATACGTGGTTCTATCGTACACACGACGAGCATACATCATCGACGAGCCGTATGTTGGCGGGGATACACTACACAACTAATTGTGTATGGAGGCAGACATGTGTACATACATCTGACGAGATTTTAAAATATCGAGAACTTTCCGGGCCCCCGCCGCTGGTGTGTGCGTACCTCAGCCACTACTGCTGCTGTAACGACTTACCCGTCCAAGCAGCCGCCACAGCACCAGCAGTGATTTGGCATCATGTGCCTAAAGCAGTACCTGCCCCCTGTACGAAAGATAATGATGAGCAGCACCCACTTTGCTTTTGATATCTGGAGTACTGCCGCTGTGGTAATACATTTGCATGGTGCCTGCCCATGTGCAGGATGCGGCGCCCATGTACGTTGAGGAGGCTCTCGGCAAGCCTCGTCGTGTTTTTTGTCGGCGTGCAAGAGATCTGCCACCTACTTACGTGTACATTAGATGGTATTGCTTCTCAAGAAGACCCAAATATTCATGTAAATCCAGCGTCACAGACGCCGACAGCTACTAATTTTCCAAAATGCATGCATGCCGCTTGTTGTGTCGCCAAGGAGCATGCCGCTGTTGGGTCTGTTACACACACAAGCACATTGTCAGACGCGGACACTTTGCTATCGTACAGCTAGTCCCACCCCCCCTGTCGGCCAAACGAACCATTCGATTCGAAGATCGTGTTCGCGTTTGTGTTACCCGCGAAACGTCTTTTTCATTGGCCAACCGGTTACCGCGGTCGATGCCGAATTGAAGAACCACACGCACAACTCGCACGCCTGGCCCGTGCTGTTGAACAAGCCCTCTCCTTTTTGGGTAGAGCACACGCCGCAGACAGCAGCTGAGATGATAACTGCTTCAGTACGTCTCTCCGTAGAAGCACTGCATTCCCTTGCAGCAGCAAGCGGCCCTCTGTGCGTGTCGAACCAAAGTCCATGTAGATGCGACGCAGAGAGACAGGCGACACCGCCGAGTTTTGTTCGTTTCATTTCTTACGAAGCACATCGATCGAAGTTCCGCATTATTATATTATTATAATGAAAAGGCACAAGGAAGATAACAAATTATTTTTTGGGTTTCTTGGAAGAAAACAACAAAAGCCATCTCTTCCATGACAACTTTTGCTGATTATGTTACGTTACAGAATTGGGGGAAAAACGAATGTGGGTATCTAATTTATGCGCCTACCTCTTTTTCAGGCAACAGCGGGTCCTATTGTAGAAAAAACCAAGAAAAGCCTCACGGCGCGGCGACCGCCTGTGAGCGAGTCCAACAACTGAAGATCCGGTGCCTTGACAACATGGTCAGGGTCCACGCGCAGCATGAACATCAACTTTGTTGCGAGTTTTGCTGCACGTCTCCAGGCCCAACGCCACGGCGGCGCGCAAGGCCGCAACAGGTTTTTAGAAAGTAAACATGACCTCACAGGAAGAATGTCCGTTCGAGATACACCCTCAGTCGAAAGGGATGTGGTGGAGTCTTTTCAGTGAGTGGAGGAAAATCGGCTGGGTGCTGGACTTACTTCGAGTCTGTTTAAGTCTATATGCTGATGATTTGTATCAGGTTTTTGCCCAGTTGTCTCCGAAATTCCGGTGGGAATTCCTGCCCACCCGCCGAAACCCGCACACATGTAGCTTTGTGGCCCACCCACTTGTGTCTATTTTTTTTTTTGGTCGATTTTTGTCCACTTTCGGTACTCGAAGAATTCTGCCGTGCGGTGACGTTGTTCTGTTGTTGTCGTAGTTGTCTTGAAATTGATAAACGTGGAGGTTGGTGATTCGAGGCCACCCAAAGTGGAAAAAGTGGACAAAGCAGTCCGAAAAAAAGGGGTTGAGACGTACGTTCCCACTTCGGACAAAATGGACAACCCATGCTGCCTTGTGCGCGGCCGTGGCGTTGGGCCTGAAGACGTGATAGTATACATTCGTCAGCGTTGATGTCCATGCTGTGCATGGGCTCTCTGACCACTTTGTCAGGGAAACGGATTTTGAGTGGTCAGATTCGCGAGGCGGTTTTTCTACATTGTAGGCCCCACTTTATTCTGATAAGGCGATGGGTACACCCACTTTTTGTCTAATCCCCTGTTAACTTCATGCAGCGTGACGCATTGCAAGGCGTCTTTTTCAACATAGACGGCCAATCTGCACAACACACATTTGGGAACCACCACACAAGCACGTACAGCAGTAGTACCTTGTATGACATCACATCTCGAACACGACGTTGCAACTGCTGTAGACAACTGATCTTATTGGAGGTTGTCGGAAACCCGGTTGCGGGAGCTCATGACCAGCACAGCACAGCGACGTCCAAGGGCAAAAAAAAGGCGTGGCGTTTGCGGGGAATTTTGCCATGTTGTGGTGGGGAGACTGCATCAACATCAACAGCACCAAGAGGGTCTGCATTTGTGGTAGCTGAATCTGTCGTGTGTTTTTTTTTTTTTATTAGCATCGACCGCGCTAACCGGCTGACCAATGAAAAGACGTGTGTTTGTGTGTCCGTCCGTCAACCCCTCCCACAACAGTGGCCCAGCACGTGGTGACCAACAAGAAGGTGGCCGTGAAGATCATCAACAAGAGCCGCATCAAGAACCTGGACATCATGGACAAGGTCCGGAGAGAGATTCACATCCTGAGAATGTGCAGCCACCCGCACATCATCCGGCTGTATCAGGTCATCGACACCCCCTCGGACATCTTCGTGGTCATGGTAAGAAGACAGGAAAGAGTGCTTCGGGGACGGGACAGGGGGGGGACTCGTGGTGGTATTGTCGATCCATGCCATCCTAACGCACCCTGCGCAAGCACGGGGCACCCCGTCGGACCTCCGCCCGCCAAGAACTACACGTGACTTTTTTTTTTTTTTTAGGGGGGGGGAGGAGACGACGGCACGAGATGGGGCACGGTAGTTGTAGCGCTAGCTGCGATTTTTAGCTGAGGGGTCACCGTGCACGCGATGTTTGTGACAACATGGGGCATGATGGCCGTAGTTCAGGCCGCGATTTTAGAGGAGGGTATGACAGCGCGTATGCACACCTTTCTATCATCACCGAGGAGTAGCGGCGCTTCCCACTCTACAGCAGTCCCCCCGTCGTGTTGATCGTCCCTTGGGGATCATTTTTTGGGTACACGAGGCCCAACGATCGCACGTAGAAGCGTGGGCTAGTCCCAACGACGCGCCTATGGTTGCAGCTCAAAACATGCATGGTTATTGTACACGCTTAATCCCTTCCCGGAGGATGTTTTTGTTTCTGGCCGAGGCGTTGTTCACAGGACCCAGCCAACAATTTCACACACAACTCCACACAAGTGTGATCGTTCTTCACCGCAGCATATTTGTTATTGCTTACATTTTGGGGGAGTCACCCATTTTGCACAAGTGTTCCAACCTCGAACCGGGGCCTTTTTGCGTATCCCTGGTGTGTCCTTGATGACGAAACGCTCTTGACCTCTGTTTCCGACGGAGTTGTTTTTCGTTTCTGACACTGGTGAAACTCATCCTGTGTGACCCCCGCTGGTGCGTATTGCTCTCACCGAACGGCGTCGAGTGGCGCCCAGAATAGATACATGGGATGATTGACAATAACAAAACTTATTAGTGCGACCCTGGATGGTTGTGTCATAGTTGTACGACAAATACACTGAAAAGTGTAGTACATGTCTCACCACGAAAAATGGGCAGACTGTGGCCATGATAAAGGACGAAAAAGTATATACATGGTTTCCTCGTTGTCCGACCACATCGGTTCGAAGGCATGTGTGCTCCGTCCTGTGTTCTCCGTCCTTTTGTGTACGAGGGATATTCTATATTGACTCTCCTCTGAGTGGAGGTGACCTTTGAAAACGGGAACCACATGTCCTCTTTCGTATCTACACTCCACACAACCGGGGATCAGACCCACCAAGCACACACGCCGTTTCTTCTTGTCTGCCGCCGCACCACCTGTCTGTCTCAGGAGTATGTGTCGGGAGGGGAACTGTTCGACCACATAGTGTCCGAGGGCCGCCTCGACCCCGACGAGGCTCGATCGATATTCCAGCAGGTCATCTCGGGGGTGGAGTACTGTCACTTCCATCGCATCGTGCACCGGGACCTCAAGCCCGGTGAGCAACCAACCCTTGCCGGACCAGTCACCCAAAAGGGAGAGGGCGATTTTTACCACGGGTTTTCTAAGGTTTCTTTTACCATGTTTTTTTTCATGGGACCGTCTACCCCCACGCATGAGAGCGAGCAAGCGTTGCCGGCCCGGCCGTCCAAGGTTATTACCGTGTTTTTTACCACGGATTTTTCCATGGGACTGTCTAGACCCCGCGCGTTGAGGGTGGGGTATTTTTAAGCGAAGGAGGGAATTACCGTTGACTGCTTGATCTTCGGTCGGCCTCTGCGTGCTTCAAGGCCTCTCCCCTCATGCTTTTTGAGCCCCAGTTCGTCTTTGTTCCGAGAAAGAAAGAAAACAGGTTGTTGCACGTTTGTTCCGTTCTCCCCCATACCTTTGATCCGCTTAACCCATTCGTGACGTCTATATGCAAGCTGATTTTGGTGACCGCCTTTCCCCTTTTTGGTTGTTGTTTTCATGCTTGGGGGTCTCCTAGAGAATCTGTTGCTGGACGCGCACGGGAACATCAAGATCGCTGACTTTGGGCTGTCGAACTGGATGCTCGACGGACAGTTCCTCCGCACGTCTTGCGGTGAGACTAAACAGACAGACACAGACACAGAGAGAGACGGAGACAGAGACAGGCAGGGAGAGAGAGAGAGAGAGAGAGAGAGAGAGAGAGAGAGAGAGAGAGAGAGAGAGAGAGAGAGAGAGAGAGAGAGAGAGAGAGAGAGAGAGAGAGGGAGGGAGAGAGAGAGAGAGAGACTCACACAATGAGACAGAGAGACAGAGACAGAGAGAGTTGACGCGCATTTGGTTTAGGAGGGCGGGGGAGCCGGGGATGATTGCCCTGTTGAGAAGAGTTCGGCGCCGACCGGGCGCGAAAGAACACTAAATACCTCTTGAGTTTTTCGCATACCCTGCGCGGTTAAAAACGAAGAAAGCTTCTACAGACCCCGTATGTGTGTTGTGTGTGCATTGTCGTTGTTGATCTAGGGCGGCGCTTTTTTTTTTTAATTATTATTAGCATCGACCGCGCTAACCGGCTGACGAATGAAAAACCAGTCAGTACGTTTGAAAACACAAAAAAAAACTTGTAAATGCCATTAACTGGGACCCCGTGAGGGGGCGGCATGGCATGGGGGAGGCTAAGCTATTCTCCGGATTGAAGACAGAAACGGTACCAACAGAAGAAGACTGCGCGTGTCTACCAAGTCTGCTACCTTGCACTCGAGTTCGTTTTGGGGTGCTGTCACCATCATGTGTGTGTGTTTAAACAGCATCGAACGCGCTATAATAGCCAGCTGTCCAGTGATCATACGTTTTTCTTTAATGGAATAAGAAACGCGAACGAACACGCTGTCTACACTTTGAAGGGTTTTACCTTTGTGTGTGTGTGTGTGTTGTGTGTGTGTGTTTGCAACGACGGCGCTAACCGGTTGACTAATGAAAATACGTCAGTCTTGGGGGCGGGATAAAAAGCACGTCTTGACGAGGGATAACACATGGTGTGTGTGTTATTGCTATTTGCATCGACCCCGCTAACCGCCTGACCAGTGAAAAGACGTAAGTCTCAGCACGGTTGAAAACACAATATTCTTCAAAGGCCATGTGTGTGTTTGTACTTTGTATTTGTCGTCATTCTCTCTGTGATTGTTTTTTCGCGCGTCCCGTCGCAGGCTCGCCGAACTACGCGGCCCCCGAGGTGATATCGGGCACGCTCTATGCCGGCGCCGAGGTGGACGTCTGGTCGTGCGGGGTGATCTTGTACGCGTTGTTGTGCGGCAGCCTTCCGTTCGACGACGAGAGCATTCCGTCTCTCTTCAAGAAGATCAAGTCCGGCATGTACTCGTTGCCGAGCCACCTGAGCCAGGTTCGATATCTTTGTCTGGGTGGTTTTGGCCCGTGGTTGTCGTTGAGGTTGTGGTGGTTGTTGTTTGTGCTGTGCTTGTGTTGTTGTTGTTGTTGTTTTTGTCGTTGTTGTTGTTGTCCGTTATTGCTGTTGATGTTGCTTTGCTGTTGTCTGCTGTTGCCGTTGCTTCGTCGTCGCCGCCATCGATGCTGTTGATGTTTTCGTCGTCACTATCGTCGGCGCCTGTGCCGTCTCTCTCTCTCTCTCTCACCACACCACCCTCCTGGTCCGATGAAACTCGTGAAGAGACTCTGTGGACGTGAGAAAGGGGGAAAAAAAAAAACGGCAAAAGAAGCGCTGAACCAGATTTGAACTGGTGACCTATTGAGCTGCAATCAATTGCTCTACCCCTGAGCTATCAGCGCTTGGAACTGCGGTTGCCACATAGACATGTATATCGAAAATATGTGTTACATGGCCAAGAAACCTCGAGGATCGACCGCTCCGCGCAGCATTCTCCCTCTCAAGTGTCTACGAATATTACCGTTGGTTGCGTAAGATACCACACCCCCTGGACCGATTTTCAGAGCCCGATTACTCCACGGCCAAGAGGATGCCGAAAGCAAACGATACGTGTTCGGAAACCTCTCGATGGGACGGTTCGAACTCCGCCATTTTCGGCACCCTCACTGCCTTCCCAGCCGAGTAATCAAGCTTTGGAACTCGGCGGAGGGGGTGTGATATCTTATGCAACATACGGTAAACCTTTGGCACCTTGGGCGGGGTTGGTCCGGTTTCGCTATCTACACGGGAAACTCCAACAATGGCCATACGGTCGTGTGCGTGTGTCTGTCAGCCCCATTTATTCTGGCGCCAGTCTTAACACCCCTCTCGGCTGTATTTGTCTGACGTACCAGCCGGGGTCACGCAGGAGGAAAGTCACACAGCAATTTTTTGTTTTTTACTGGGGTGTGTGTTAATATATTCAAGGATAAAGTATTCAAGCATAAAGATTCCCATATACCCACCGGTGGAAGGAAGTATTGAACGGCGCGCCTCTTGCGACCCCTCGCATCCATTGGCAAGCCGGGACGGGTAACATGAGGCATGATCTCCTTCCTCGCCCGGTGGACACCCCCCCTCGGAAACCGTATGTAGGTCACGTAAGATGCCACATCCCCTGACCGAATCTGAAACCTCGATTACTCGTACGTGACGAAAAACATGCCAATGTCAGATGATACGTGATCGGAATGCTCTCGACGAGAAGGTTTCAACTACTGCTGTGTTTGCTGCAGGGTGATGGAGCTTTAAAAATCGGTCCGGGGGTGTGTGGAATCTCGCATATGCGACCTGCGGTACTCTCGTCTGCCCAGAGGCCCGTTTCTGTTTTTCTCTGTAGATCAATCCAACAGCGGCTATATCGCTTTCGGTTTGGGATTTCTTTTTCCGAGCACCCTCTTTTGGGGTCCAAGTTCTTAGTTTCTTGGGCCTGGAGTGCTTTCTTGGATGGCGCGTTCTGTTCCCCCTCCCTCGTGTGCTTAGATTAGACACCCCATCAACTGCTAATACGTGTCACCTTGCCCCCCCTGTTGACTTCGTTGCGACCGCTCTTCCTTCGGTGTTGCTGCAGTTGGCGCGAGACCTGATCCCTCGAATGCTGGTCGTGGACCCCATGAAGCGGATCACCATTCCGGAGATACGCCGGCACCCGTGGTTCACCCACAAGCTGCCGGCCTACCTGTCGCGACCGCATTTCAAGATCGAGAAAGAGGTTCGTGGTGCCCCGATTTCGTCGTCATGCCTCTCTTCAGTTTGTGTCGTGGTCGTCGGTTTTGTCGTTGTGGCCAGTGGTCGTGGTGTCTTAGCAGCCGCAATCAACCCATTAGACCAGCCAGCCGCCGCTGACTTGCCTAATGGGTTGATGTCGCCGCCTGCTGGTCTCATGGCTTAGTTTTGGTTTCTAAGCGTCTCGCGTTCCCTGCAAGCGGCCGTGCGATTGCTCTGCCGGGGTGCTGTCCCGAGACGGGCTGCAATCCTTGCGGTCGCTTTTCTCTCTCTCTCTCTGCGTCTCTCTCTCTCTTGCTCTCTCTCTCTTTCTCTCTCTCGTTCTCTCTCTGTCTGTCTGTCTCTCTCTCTCTCTTGCTCTCTCTCTCTCTTTCTCTCTCTCACTCTCTCTCGCTTCTCGTTTTCTCTCTCTCTCTCTCTCTCTCTCTCTCTCTCTCTCTTTCTCCCTCTCTCTCGTTCTCTCTCTCTCGTTCTCTCTCTGTCTGTCTCTCTTTCTCTCTCTTTCTCTCCCTCTCTCTCTCTCTCTCCCTCTCTCTCTCTCTCTCTCTCTCTATCTCTATCTCTCTCTCGTATGTGTGTCCTACCTTCTGCCTCACCTAGCTTCCCCACACCACTTACGATCTCAACCTTGCGTGTGCGTGTGTCTGTTTGTTTTCGGGGGCGTCGTCTTCTTCAGGAACGGGCGCTTGACCAGGAGGTGGTCGCGGAGGTGTGCCTGCTGAAGCTGCCGGGAGCGACGCCGGAGAAGGTGGCGATGGCAGTGCAGAGGAGAAGCAAGCGAGCCGACATCCGTGTGGCGTACGAGCTGCTGCTGGACAGCAAGAAGGCCAAGATCAGGAAGGAAGGTGTGTATTTTGTGTATATGTTTTTGTTGGAGCTGGCATCGACCGCGCTAACCGGCTGACCAATGAAAATACGTCATCCTATTTTAAACACAAACTTTCTAATCAAAGAGTATGGTTTTTTGTGTGAGTGTTTTTTTGTTGTTGTGATTGTGGTTCTTTACTTTTGCATCGACCGTGGACACCGGCTGGCCGATGAAAGGACATCAGTCTTGCAGTCTTACAGTCTTGTGTAGCGAATAGAAAACGAGAACACGCTTTTCGGTCATGCCCCTCCCCCCCCCCGGCGGTGTGTGTGTGGTTCGATTTGTGTCGACCGCGGTAACCGGCCGACTATTGAAAAGACTTTGGGCTTACAGCAGGGTAAGAAACGCAGACACGATTTGTAATCGTTGGGGTTCCCCGGGGGAGTGCGGAAGAAGTTGATTCACGGGCATGCAATGCTCTTCATACTTAAAGTGGTGTAGCGCAAGCTTTGTACGGCTGGTGGTTGTGATGGTTGGCTTAATTATTTTGCGTGGACTGGTCTAGCCTTGGCCTTTGGCGTTTGTTGGGTTTCCTGCTTGGGTTTTCTTGTCACATCTGGCAAAGCTCTTGTGGCTGCTGTACTTGCTGCTTTCGTCCGCCGTGTTCATTTGCTTCGCATTAGTTGTGATGTTGTCGCAGATCGTCATGGTTGACAAGGAATTACTTGTTGCTCTATCGTTTTAGCCGCGGTATCCGTAGCGGTACCCCCAAACGCCGCCTCAAATGTTTCCACAGGTGGTCAATTTTGCGACAGTTTTGCGAACAACAATATTTTCGGTTGTTATAACTCCGGTCCCGCCCCGCCCCCGCCCC